AATGTACTTCACAATTATAACTTCCTTAGTGACTGAATATATCCCTTTCAATTCTGGTTAAAGCCATAAACTATTTTCACATTTAGTTTTCTAGCTTTTTTACCTTCACGACCGATAGTAAAATAGAGAGAAACCCCAGTTTCAAATTTCAATCTGCCACCGGACTGTAATATAATTGTGGTATCTACATGACGATGACAACAACAACAATAACAACAAAAATTTCTGCTAGATTTAGAAACCACCTCAGCTCAAAACGTGTTACGATGAGTAGATTCAAAGGACGAGAACAATAATTATATACTTTAACCCAATATTTCAAATCCTCCCATTATGTAGATCTTAATACTTTTATCGACATATTTTATTTATAAAGGAGGACGCCGCGAAAAAACCCAGGCCATAATTTACTATAAATAATTCAAACTGTGACTGGTGTAGCTAGGTTTAACTTCTTTGCAAAAGTTATTATTTTGATGAACACCCAGTTGGTGACAATTAATGTTTACATGGTATGTAAAATCAAGAAGTATTTTAAAAGCAGAGCCTAGACATTAACATTTTCGAATGACGTGCTTTGTCATCGTAAGTTCTTTTTTCAGTTAAACATTTGTTCTGAAATTATGCTCTTAATAATATTTCCGCCATACTAATTGAATGATATTTTTTGCTCTGACATAACTCCGAAAACGCGAACTAATGGAAGGAAGGTTTTAATTAAATTTTCCAGCTCTTGATGTGCTCTAAAATAAATAAAGGTCATGCTTTAAAAGCGTTCGTGGCAGACAACGGGGAAACCGACTTTGTTTTGCGAAAGTTTATAACAAAGAATATTGAAAATGGTCATTATTATGTCAAGACTAAAACCTGTGCATGAGAAGTGTTTGCAATATCAAGCAATTGATGCCATCATGTGACGAGAAGAGCTAGGAGGGACTCGCACGTCATCTTTCATACGAGTGGGGACTGGTACATAATGCAGCGAGTGCATATAAAGTGTGACATGGTAATAGGGGAACGAAAAAAAAGAAATGCACGCCACAAAAATTGCTTCCCTTGTTAATTGTTCCATGTCGTATGATTTTCGTTGCAATAGAACTTGAAATCCCCTACCCCAAAGCATTTTCAAGTAGCTAAATCAATTTCCTTTGATACAAATTTTTTAAATTCTTCAAACAGAGCGCGTTTAGACGTGGCAGAAGAAGGAACAAGTTAAAATGTGTAGGGGCAATGGAACTCAGATGAACTTAGCTGAAGTGTTTGCTGAACAACTAGCAGAAAGAAGTCAAGCCGAGGTCTACATGGAACTCATTGCTTTAATTATAGTGGGTGCGATCGGAGTAACGGGAAACGTTCTGGTCTGTTTGGCCATACTGAAGACTGCGTCTCTAAGAACAATCTCCAACTATTACGTAGCTTCTTTGAGCACATTCGAGCTGATAATCTCTCTTTGCCTACTAGTGTTTCTTCCAGAAGTTCTCGTCACTGGAAAATGGAGATTCGGCGATGCATCATGTCAGTTTGTAGGTTTTATGACAGCCATGTTGGCTACCGGCTCTATATATGCCATGGCCCTGATAGCCTTAAATCGATACTTCCTCATGGTCAAATCCAATCTTCATCGGAAATACTTTACAAAGCGGAACGTGTATGTCTCGATTGCCGCGTCCTGGCTTTTGGCGGTAAATTTTCCTCTGTCTTACTTCATTCAAGGTAACACGTTTGAATTCCATCCCGGCAAGATGTTCTGCATCTTCAACGTGGACAAGATAAACCTGATTCAAGCTTTCCTAACTGGTTTCTTCAATATTCAACTTCCGTATATCATTATTTCTATTTGTTACTACAAGATTTACCGCAAAGTCCAGCAGCACAACGCGCAACTGAGACGCCTGGAGACAGGAGTGGCCAGCGGTAACAGGATATCAACCAGGGATATAAGAATCACGAAAATATTGTTTGCTATGGTGATTGCGTACACGGTTTCTTGGACTCCGTTTTATGTCATCGATTTGATCGGAGTGTTTTGCGGTCAATATTTCGCCCCGCGCCTTGTGTATGTGATTTACGGCATTGTCGTCGGTAGCACGGCAGCAGTAAGTCCCGTACTCTATGGCGCTTTTAATAGAGAGCTGAGAAGTGAAATTATAAAATTATTTAAAACTCTGCACTGTTCTTTATTAGGAAGAGCGAAAGTTGCCATAAATGGACAGACTTGAACAAGATGTGATTTCCTGTTGGCGTAAGACAACTCAATATTGAGGTCAAGTGATG